ACAAAGTACTATAAACTGATGACATTTGAATAATAGAAATTTATTCCTCATAGTTCTGGAGGCTAGAAGTCTGAGATCAGAGTTCCAACATTTTTGGATTTGGTAAGGGTCCTCTTCCAGCTTGCAGACAGCCACCTTCTTACAGTATCCTCACAAGGTAGAAAGACAGCTACCTAGCTGTCTAGTCTCTTCTTATAAGGGAATTAATTCCTGTCATAAGGGCTCCATTGGCACCACCCAATTACCTCCCAAAGGCTTCACCTCTACACATTATCATGCTGAGGATTTCAACACATGAACTTCTTGGAGGAACACATTCAGTATGTTGTTCTGAAGCCTAGATAGGCTGAGAATTTTCTAGCTCATCAAGGTTGATGATAGGCTGAGTCCTTTTTGTTTAACAGATTCTTCTTCAAGTTACCTTTTTCTTCTCACATTTACTACATTGCAAGGAAAAAGCAGACTCTTGAGATGAATCTTACCTCAATTTTAATAGGCAGAGAAAAGACTCTAGCTGACATTTGGATGATAACCTGTTTCAAGGTTTGCAGCCATTAATTTTTTTTACAGTTAATACTTATATCATTTATTTAACGATTAAGCTGTGTTTATATCAAAGAAATACAAGCATCATCTGCATAGCCAGAAATAAACCCTTTAATATAATGTTTAGCCTTTAGGGGGTGTTATGAACCGAATTGTATTCCCCTCAAAATTTATGTATTGAAGTCCAAACCTCCAATGTGATGATATTTAGAGACAGAGACTGTAAGGAAATAATTAAGATTGAATGAAGTCCCCACAGTGGAGCCCTAATCCAACATAACCAGTGTCTTTAAAAGGACAGAAGAGACACCAAGGATATTCTCTCTCAGCAAAGAGAAGAAAGGAGGAAAGGCCTATAGAGGAAAGCCCATGGGAGACAAACCAGCAAGATAGCCACCAACAGAAACCAATTCTCACAGTATCCTGGTCTTGTACTGCTGACCTACATAGCTGCTAGAATATAAATTTCTTTTGGTTAAGCCACCCAGTCTGTGGTATTTCATTATGAGAGTCCTGGTAAAGGAATATAGTAGGAAATCAGAATGTTTCAACATAACTAATCTAGGCTTCAAAGACTCTGTCCATATATACAGGCACACATAATGAAGAGAGATATACACTAATTCCAACTGTATCATTTAAGATTCATATTTTGTGTAAAAAAAATCCAAAGTTATATGTGTGTGTGTGTATGGTATGTGTATGTGTGTGTGTGTGACAAAGTAACTGCATAAATCCTGCATGTGGTTAGATCATTTCAAGGCCTTTTTATATTTTAAAAATTCGATCTTGAAGGCAATAAACATCTCAAAAAGCCCACTATTATTGTTTCTTGCATCCATTTACTATGACTTGGTGGCTCCTAACAACTCAATAGATTCTCTTTTATTTCCGAAGGACACTGGAGAGTGAGCTGCCATCTGGCAGACTCAGTGTCTCCTAAAGGCTGAGAGAGCAACAGTAAAATACAACAGAGAAAGAATGCTGGCTCAATGCTTACTGGGAGATCTACTGGCAATACTGCCTCTTGAATTTACTTTTTATTTTCCCATTTCTTCCTAAATTCCCCCAGTGTAAAAAGAGAAATCTTTCACCCATCTCCCCTTTTCTTTCTCTCTCTCTTTCTCAAAGTATCATTTTTGTGTAGTTAACAAGTCTGTGCCTATTGCCTAACCTGCTTAGTAACAAGCTATGTTTCACAAATCTTGAGGCAATGTATGGAAGAAATGAACAAAATTAATATTAGCATTTCTTCTACTACTCTGTTCACAAGCCACTTCTCTACAAAATTTGGTGGCAGTCTTCTCTGGCCACCAGAGTCTGCATACACGTTTCTTTCAACTCTTTGATGCTGACCATTTACATGTCTTAAGAGTTGTATACTACCTGGAAATGGTACTCAACTGTTCTCAAGTGTAAGTTTTATCTCATCAGCTGCATGATCAGTCTTTCCCTGCCTGTCTGACCTCTCTTACAGTGCACTCAGCTGGAGTTCTGGTTCTTTCTCAAACACACTCTGATCTCAGGCCCTTTGCATCTGGTCTGCCAATTAGGAATGGGCTCTTCCAAAGACAGCTGCGTATTAATTCTCATTGCCTTCCAGCTTCTCTCACACACAAACTTCTCAGAGATGCCTTCTCCCACCAACTTTGGTAGAAAGACTGTGGGGTGCCCTTCAGTGTTATCCATCTTGTAGTACTCTTGATCTTATCTAATATAGTCCCCTTGGGTGAAGGCAGGACCTGTGACATTAACTGATGGATTTGAAGATTTAAAAAAATAGAATCAGATATTGTGGCTATCACTTCTGTGAATCCATTTACATAGGTTGCAACTTCCATTTTTGCTAGCATATGCTCTTCCTTATTGGCCTTGATGAAGCAAAGATACCCATAAGCTTAGGAACTAAGGGCGGCTTCCAGCTAAGAGTTAGCAAAAAATTTAGGCCCTCATGAAACAGCCGTTGAGGAAATTAATTCTACCAGCAATCTGAGTAAGCAGAAACATGATCCCTCCTCAGTCAAGCAATCAGATGAGACCCCATACCTGGCAAACACCATGGTCACAGACTTGTAACAAACTCTGAAATAGAAGGCCCCAGTGAGGCCATGACCAGATCCAGGCCCTCAAAAACAATGAGATAATAAGTGTATATTATTTTACTTCACTGCATGTGTGGCAACTTATCACACAACAGTAAACAACTAACACAGAGCCCTAAGTGAAACATCTTCCTCTCCACTTGCCTCTGCCTGGCTTTTTGTCTTCTTACTCTACTTCTTTTCTTTAAGAAACTTTTGTTTTTCAGTGCTGGGGATCCAATGTTTTATTTTCTTAATACATTATCACTGCCATATGTCACCATTATTGTCTGCCTCCCCCATTGAAACCCATAGGGGGAAGTCCAAATTTTGCAGGGACCAAAGCTTCTATAATTTGAAGACGAGAGGCTCCTTATGGAAAAAAAATCTAAAAAGTCGTTGAACAAATTTAGCTATAAAATTAAATATTTATTTGGAATGAGAAAAGCAATCTTAGCAAATTATTTTCAAAAGCTAAAAAAGTCATGTATCACTGAGTGCCTAAAACACTTCTATAAAATCCTTTTTCCTATAGTTCATGGTCTACATCTTTTGATCACTTCTTCACATGACAACAATTTTATAAAATAGTATTCTCTAAAGGAATAACAGGATGTGTTTCTTCTAGCATGGTAAAATGAATTTTTACAATTATTACTTATAGTTAAGAAAAGTTCCTTTCATTTTCACACATCCTTAGTTGTAATGTCACATAAGTGTTTAGAACTGTTTTCCAGTTTTATATAGGAGCTATCATATTTCAGGACACCTTAAGTTTTCTCTTACAGAAACTCTGAATTGATGAGAGTTAATAATTAGTTTGCAGTTAACATATGCCTTTGTTGAAGTAGGCTGTGTTAGAATAGAAATGAGACAGTGACTTTAACTTTTGCATAGTTAATACAAATATCAGGCTGTGTGAACACATGAGAAGGGGTCTGCATAGTACAGCCACTGTTTTATGGTAAATTTGGTTTTGTCCCTGAGAGTAAGGACCATCTAATTTGTTAACTGCTACATTGCCCATACTTAGAATAGTGCCTGGCACATTGGTTGTTACGTAGTAATAATTATTGAAGAAACAGACAAGTTAATTGTTTCACCATTACATCAAGCAATAAGTTGCTCATATACTGCAAGAATATTTAATAAAGACCGGTTTAGTTAATAAATAACTAAGAGTTCCAGGATGGTTCAAAGTAAAATATGAGAATGCACATCTATTGAGTAGATGTGTTGATGGATTAATAGTTAACATTAATATATACATACTGCATAGATATAAGTAAAAATAAGATCTAAATACATGTATTAATCACTATATTCTGAATGTTTATATGCAAATGTACATGCAAATACACACAGGTTTTTTTTCTACTTAGAATTTCTGAGAACATTTAGCTTTTCTGGTCTTCTAGCCATCGAACCTTAAAAAGATGATTGACTATTTGTGGGTTGATGGGGTGAAAGAAGTATGTCAAAGATAGAAGTACAGTATTTTTAAACCAAAAACTTCACTTCCTGAGCAAGGATAACAGTATGTCACAGCATCTAAGAGCTTGGTCTCTGAGGTTTAAATAGCTCTGTGACCTCTGTCAAGTTTCTCGTTCAATATAAGGCACTGCTTTCTCATTTGTAAAATAGCTTTAATACATGTGTCCCCATCATTTTTATCGGATAATGCATCTGAAACTTCAAGCCAAGTACCTAACAAATGATAGGCACTTAGTAAAGTCAGTTTGTTTCTGTTTTTGCCCTTAGTATCATTACACACTTCTGAGAGCAGCACACTTACTGAGAAATGTAATAAGCACTTTCACTACTGACATAAAAATCATATCCTGAACACATTTCTATTTAAGTTCCTGAAAACTGCTGTATAATGAGCAAGAGGAAGACAAGTGGCTGCACTTTATGTGAAATGTACACCATAAAAACCAAAAAAATATTATCAGTCACTGGACCCTTCAGGAAGCCACACTAACAGGAAATTGAGGTATCCAGACCCTAATTCTGGAACTGAGCAAACAGACTTCAAACTCTACAGTGCAGCTAATTATTATCCAGAATATGTTTGGCACAGGAAATGGTCATAGGTCACATAAGATTTTTTGAACACACACATAACTGCAGGAAATCTCATTTTCAATAGTATTGTTTTCATGCTGCAAAGACAGTTAACGCAGGTAGAAAGCACCAGAGTCCAAAAAATAAAAGCAACTTAGAAATTATAGGCCCATTGGAAATGATCACACACCACATACAAATTTAAGCTCTTTAATGTTGGCTTATAACTATGGCACTTGAAAAAATGCAAAAGCCAAAAGCACAAAATCATCCCTACAACTGCTTGTGGGTGTAACAGTGTAATACCGTCCTTGCTTTCACTAAAGTAGGAAAAGTCTTTGCTCTCAGGGTTGAACTTTACATTCAATAAAGATTTAGGTGCTACCATCCCCTCTGCAAGTAATGTTAGAAATGGAAGGAAATCCTACTAAAAGGGGGCTGCCTTGGAGCCCCCAATCGATTCCCCCAGTGTCTGACACTCTAATGACATAGACGCTTCATTACTTTAAAAGTCCTTTAAATAAAATGAATGATGATAAAATGGATGAATACAAAGTATAGGAATCTTTTTATTTTATAGGCATATAATAGTCATACAGGGGGATACATTGTGATATGTACATATGTACTTACAATATATCTTAGTTAGATTTACCCCTTCAATCATTCTCCCTCCTCCTCCCTTCCCCCCTTTCTTAGAACAATTTCAGCAGTTTCATTCTTCTATTTCCATATATGGATACAAAATACATACGTCATATTCACCCTCATTCAGTCTTTCCTTATGCCCTCCCCGATCCCCCTAGCCCACCCCTGGAAAAGACCTGTTTTACCCTCCTGTCCTTCAATTCTTTTTAAGTGTACATTGATAATCCAAGGGGGTTTCATCTTGGCATTTCAGCCATGTATATATCATGCTTTAATTGGATTACTCCCTCCATTACTTATCTTTCTCTATTGCTCTGCTCCCCTATTGTTCAACAGTTTATGGTTCTTTAGTTTATATTCGAATATGGATGGGATGTTTCAATGTTTTTCATTCTCTAACACTCTCTTTCCCTCTTCTGCCTCCCATAATTCCCTTAGACAGATCCACTAATACAACCTTGTTCTCTCTTACTATATGTGTGTGTACAAACACATATATGTATATTGACTTTATCTTTAATTAATAATTACTTTAATAATAGTTGAATGTATATTACCATAACATACACAAAAAAAATCACAAAATGAAGATTTCACAAACTACACAGGCTATATTGCAACTTATAAGGTAAAAAAAAATTTAAGACCAGTCCCAATACAGAAAAGGAAAAGTATTTCTCCAAGAGAAGGCAAGTTCAGCCTGAGCTGAGTTGCCTTCTGCTCTGTGTGCACAATGTTATCAGGAACACTTCTAATTTGGAGGAAGGTTCAGACCTCAGGATGAAAATGCAGAAAAAGCAGGGCCATCTTTCCACATTGGCATGGCTTAATGAACATGTTCGTAGAAACAGAAATTCATTGTAAAACAGAAAATAGTTACTTAGATATTACAGTAGAAAATATATTGGTATGAGAATTGTAAAAAATTATGAATTATAAGAAAGTTATAGTAGAAGAATAAGTGACTCGGGTTAGTAGTACTATTGCCAGTATATTCTGGGAAAGAAACCAAAAAAAATTTAGAATAATAAATTAATGAATCAATAATCACTGTCATATACCTGAATAATTACTAAAGAAAGACACTAATAATATATAGATTTGGGGATCTTTCCTTTATGATAATTTGGCTATATGGTGAGGTAATGTTTTAATTCTTTTATGCTGATATTATTTCCTTTTTTCTATTATACTTATAGTTGTGTATTTTTAAGAAGTCTCTCATATTTACTATTAGTATTCTACTAGGGGTACATTGTGATATTTACCAAAACTCTTAAAATTTATACATCATAGTTGAATTCACCCCCTCCAACATATTCCTTTATCCCTCCTCCCCTATTCCTGGAATAGTTTCATTTTCCATTTTTATACATGAGTACATGTTTTTATAATCTACAAAATACTTTACCCTTCATTATCACCACTGATCCTCTAGGTGACCCAATAAGGTAGAGAATAATTTGCTTGTGACTTAAATAAGCCAGGCATGCTGCACAGTATTCAACAGTGCACAGAGCAGACCCTGCCCAGCCCCTTTCCTAGAAAGAATTATCAAGCCCCGAATATCAATAATGACAATGTCTAATCCCTAGTCTAAACAGGGAACAGTCTTGTAAGCACATTAAGTTGTTTATGTTACTGTAGTGGTTTTAAAACATGTCTGGGAATAGTTTTACATTCTTCCATCAAAAGACTGAGTCTCAATTTCCTTCTCTTGAAACTATGTGAGACTTTGTAATTGGCCTGATGAATAAATATGATTGCATAATTTCTAAGTCGAGGTTAGAAAAGGCCACACAGTGCTACCTAGTTTCTTTGTGGGACACTTGATTTTAGAGCTGGCGTCACTCTCCAAGAAATCAGACTACCCAGAAAGTGCCATGCTGGAGAGACCAAAGTTTACCACATGAAGACAGAAAACTGTCACATGAGAGATGGTGAGCCAAATGCCCAGCCAAGTCTTTCTTAAGTCCTCACCCAAGAATCCATGATATGTAGTAAACGATGGTTGAAGTTTTAAGCTATTATCTTTTGGGGTGATTGGTTGCATTGCAATAGCCAAAGAGTACAATCTATGGATTGAGTTATTCATAGTCAAAGGCTCTGACAAATACGATGTTTTCCCCCTTACCCTACAGGGTTTTGATCTATGAAAGCACAGAGAGCTTAAGCAGAGGACTGCCACTTCTCAGGGGAAAACGGACTATGATCAGCACGTGGGAAATAGGAGACAAAGCAAATTTTGTCAAAGAGATTTCCAGAGGGGCATCCAAGGGCATCTTGAAGCGATACAGGTTGTAGTCCTGGGCTTTAAGTCATTTCAAAAGGCAATTCTTACAAAAATGAGGAGGAATGCCAAACTAGATAATCTCTTAAGGTTCTTCTAAGCCCAAATTCTAGGACCTTAACTACAAATACTTTACAAAAGAGATGCTTTTTAAAAATGCAACTTGAAAAAAATAATCCTGGTGAATAAAAACAATGAAAGCACCAGTTCACAGCCATCAAATTATAGAAACTAAATGAAAATCTAGTGATGAAATTGACAAGCCTTCACATTAACAGATGATACATGGTTCAATATATGACTATAGCTAAAAAATATACACACAATCTTTGACACTGTAATGTCCCTACAGGAAATCACCTAAAAGGAAAGAAAAGAAAACTTCTTATGCAATGACTTTTATAGCCACATTATATACTGGAGGGGGAAAATCCCACAGGAAACAACTTAAATACCCAACAATGGGACAATAGTTAACCATGACATGGCAGGATGCATTAATGTAAAGTTATAAATATAAAACCATAAGGAAAAATACATACAAGCTTCTATAAATTGAAATTATTAATCAAATTTATTATTTCAATTGATATATTTACTTCACAGATAAAGATAATTTATATAAGCAAATATACAAATTCATAAAGTTAAGGTGAGTTAAATTTGATAATTAAAAACATTTTCTACTATAGAATTAAAAGTTTAGAATATTTGCCAATATGGAACATCATTTTAATCAATTTTGCAAAAAAAACCTATTTTTCTATCAGTTAAAATGCCACATCAACAACTAGTATGTGGAAAATTTGGAAAATAAGAAATAAATATTGTTTTATAAAAGGAGATCTTTAAAATGCTAATCTTGATTTTTCACTTTTGGAAATAAAGAACTTGTTTGAATCAACTCTCCCATTGAAGACTGCTGAGAAATTTGGAAGAAATTTTTTAAATATTCTTAAATATACTTAAGAAGTCTTCCTGAAAGGGGATGAAAAAGTAATTTAGAGAAGAAACTTAGGCTGTTGGATCCCTTGTTGCTTTGGTGAGGGTGGAGGGGAGACTGCAGAATAAAGAAATTTTCCAATCCTAAAAAAAAAATGAATGAAAAATTAAAATCTAACACCTGTCAGACAAGGAAATTACTACACCTATATAAAAACAAATAAGTCTACAAAAGTTGTGAAGGATACAAACTAAACTTAAAATTGTTAGCAAAGAAATTTAGGACAGAGCCAAATAGAAATCCTAAAACTAAAAATATAGTAAGCATATTAAGAACTGAATGAATGATTCAACTTCAGGATAAACACTGTTAAATCTAGAAATAGTGAATAGTAATATTGATAAGAAAAACTACCCAGAATAAAGTGTAGACAGACATAAAGAGAAGAAATACAGCAGAGAGCATAAGAGGCATACAGCACATAGGGAAAAGTTCTAATATTCAGTGTATTCTCTTTATTCACAGCAGCTATGTTTTGTAGATTTTCTGCAAATATTAGCAAATTTGCTACTATTGCTCCTAGGGGAAATAAGGTCTTTGTTAGTCTCTGGTCCAAAGTTACTCATCAACCAATCAATATATAACCTTGCTTTATGGATGTATCTGTTTAATGACATCTTATTTAATATATATTATTGTTTCATTAGCATTAAACACTCAGCCAACTGCCCTATAACTCATGCCTGAAGGAAGATTATTTTACCCACATATTTTCTCTATAAAGCACATCACTGCCTCTTTTGCACTTAAGTACACTAAGTAGCACTTCAGAGCAACACTTGGAGGCCATTTTAAGCAATGATGTCATCCAAAGCCGAAAATACAAAAAAGCTGGTGCTAAACAGAGCATGAAAAGCACACCTGCTCTGTATGATAGCTGAAACAAAAAAACAGAGAGGTTTTTTTGATCTCAGTGGAAGAAATGTACAAAGGGTAAATCAAAAGTTTTGCTGCTCTGTGATGTTTTTAAATGACCACCAAATTCCCCTAGCATTGATTTGGAGGTTCTAAATACAGTAGTCCACTCTCATCTGTGGTTGCTCTTTCACAGTTTCAGTTACCCACAATGAACCCCTGAAAATATTAAATGGACATCTGCAGAAATAGACAATGCTCAAGTCCCCAATTGCATGCTATTCAAAGTAACATGAAGAAATGTGGTCCATCCAGCCTGAAACATGAGTCATCCCTTTGTCTGGTGTATCCACGCTGCATATACTGCCTGCCTGTTAGCCACTTAGTAGTCATCTCAGTTATCAGATACTCTACTGTGGTGTTTCAGTGATTGTGTTCAAGGAACCCTTAGATGGTATCCCAATGCTATATCCCAATGCTTATGTTATGCAGCTCACTTCATCTTATCATGTAGGCATTGTTTCATCTCATAGCATCACAAGAAGAGTGAGTACAGTACAATAAGACTTTGTTGAGAGACTACATTCACATA